CCCAAGGTTCGCCTGAATAAGAACTGCCACTCTTTCTGCCGCATTCCACGGAGGGAAGGGGAAGGGACCACCAGTGCGAATGATACCATCTATGAAACACGATAGTTTCACTTTTCTCCACGGGAAGGAGAAGTATTTAGTGATTTGCTGAAGGCTTATTCCACGACCAAAGTACTCTCTACCGGCCTGTCTCCCAACACGAATATGTTGCTTGTGATCACTGGAGACAGCACACAAAGTTTCACGCATGAAGATTCAGTTTCCGAAGAGAAACAAACTTACAAAAACTACACTCTATGGACAATCGAAGGTAAGTCGGCGGAGCCAAAGGCGGGATGGAAAGAAGTGCGCCTTGGGCGGCTACGCGCTGAAAGAATCGGTTAAAGCGTGCGATTTTGGAGAGTAGAGACAAATCGATCGATAGAATAGGATGCAGTAGAAGTGTGAGATGTTAATGCAATAAGTCAAAGGTCCAGAAAGAGTTTCTAGTGACGGCACTCTAAGAACCAAATGGTAGCGTTTCCAGAATTTGTGACGGGTAGGAGCCCTTCCAGTTCTTCGACTTTTTTTTCTTACTCAAAGGTATTCTTCTTATTCTTCTCGTTCTTATCGTGAACTGAGTCCAATGCCAGTGGCTTGTGGGTGAGATGAAATGACGATTTTCGGGAAAGATCGGGCAAAGTGCGCGACAAGAAAGCAAGAGAGCTGGAGGAGCGTTGAGAAGAATTTCAGAGCAGAGTCTCTCCTGCTCACATCTGTTCGGAACAGCAATGGAAAAGGTTCCACTGGTTTGTTCAGGGGTGCGCCGTGCTCTAGACATCCAGCGCGAGTCGCGCTTCTTATACATGTTGCAAGCTCTACCGATGATTCCACAACGCTCGTCTGCCCGCAGTTGTTCTCTTTCTACTGTTCCCTATCCTTGGCGCTCAGTATTTATTGCTGGTGGCACTGTCCACCTTACTAAAAAAAGGGAACTTGACCGGTGTTTTCGGTTAGGATCTATGTTTTTCTTTACTTGTGTTCATTGGTCCCTATACATTTATTTCAAATGAAATCATAAATAATCACATTTTCGATCGTGGAATGTGGTTTTAATACGTATTTACAGCAAAACCGTCGTACTCTGCTTATAAATGCAGTAGGTAGAATTCGATGAATGTCCGATTCCATAAGTATCGACGTGAAGCGAACGCCGTTCAGTAATAATTGATATTTACATAGTACTTAACGAGACTAAGAAGTAAGCAATTAACATCTAATGCTGTAAGCATTTCGAGGTTTTTTTTTGCGTGAACCTCGTAAATTGAGCCAAGTTTTACAAATGCCGCTATAGAAAGTTTATATAAGTCCATTTATAGCAGAGGGAAGTAAAAGAGAATCTTGCTGCCACATTTTGATCAGAATAGTAACTGTAATGAGCGTTCAATCAAAAATCTTCTTTAACAAAAGAACGCAAGATTTCAACAACAATCTGCTTTGTTCGTTCACGGCTACATTATTCATTGACAGAAATAGCATTGTTTTGGTTCTCAAAAAGTCTGAGAACTGTGTTTTCCCCACATTTTGCTACTGCGTCGTCGCTGATTTGTCGTCGAAGATACAGTTGACAAGACCATGGCCCATCTGCATACCTTCGACCTTTAGTTGCTTACTGGCCACTGCTTCTCTCGTCTTCTTCTGTAATAGATTCTGAACCGTTCCACTCAGTTGAGGACAAGTGGTACGATAACGTAGGTGTTGAAAGGAAATCTGCGTTTTGTAAGAAAGCAAGAAATGGAACTTGCGCCGAGAAGAGCGCAACGTAACGGCCTAGCAAGACCTCACGCAGAGACGGTTACGTTCGTGGAGAGCCCCGCCTCCAAGTGAATGAAAAGCTAGAGAACGCACTGCGTGCTGTTCCTGTTGCCGTCATCCTTCGTTATTCACTGAATAAACATTTCACACCATGTGATGGTATCCTGTAGTTTTTAGATGTAGTGTCAAGGTATCAATCAAAGCATCGCTTCTGCTAGGATGAGCTCTCGGCACAAACTTGTCCTAGCCACCTCTGCCATGACCATAGGCCGTCCGAAGCAAAATTCAACATGAGGAACTGTGCTCCATCTCACGAGTTTATGCCTTTTCCTTGGTTTTTCCTTCTCACAACACCATTTGTATATTTACACACATTCATTTCCAAGGTGACCGTCCGAGTATCGTAGCATCTGGCTCTAATGAACACCTTCGGCAATGTTGTTCCCAATCTCAGACTCATATGTACTTGAAATGTAACTGAAACTGTTGTTAGCATGGGTGGCGAATATTCGCTTAAAGCTCAGTCCTGGACCATATTTGAGTGGGATTACTTGTGTGGAACGATTCTGAGAGCAGCTGCTTATTCCTGCCGGAAGGCAGAATGGGAAGATGGAGACATTTGGAAGCATTGCGCATTACTCAACCAATGAGCTCAAGAAAATGACAATGGGGAAACTTTTTAGGAGGAAAGTATGTATATAAATCCTTCGTGAGAGGGGCTAAGAACTTTGAAGATGTCCAAGGATCATGAATAAGTTGATAGTGCCATTTCGATAAAAATGGCTCTTTTATCATTGTTTATCATTGCGCATTGTTTGGAAGTGGAGTTTACGATGAAAAGACACGCGAGAAATTATGCAGTACCATGGAAAACGATTTGGAACCCAAGAAATAGACCTTTTATTTGCCCGTTCATTTCCGCATTGATGCGACTAGCATCTGTACTGCCCTCTTCAGCATTGGGACTCTGCTTTGTACTCCAAAGGAGGCCCGTGGCGCTGCGAGAAGCGGATAGGCAGACGGGTCAGTGACGAGTCGCAGCGCTTACTGTAGCGATTCGGAATCGAATGTACGGTAGTACGTCCCACATAGCACGCTCTACGACTCAACCGCTGTCCCACCTGCGTCTCTGCCTTTTCGCCGCGTGACAGGCCTCCGGTCGGGCACCCCTCTCCTGCTAAACAGTCAGCGTCAGACGGTGAGCGGGTACCCATCGCCGGGCCTGCAGAGGCTCGTGCGACGATGGTACGATCCCGCTGGGCAAGGCACATTCTTCGCTGCGAAAAGCGTCCAACATCCTAATGGGTTGGTCTGCCTCTTGATTAGATGTACCTCCCCTTTTCGACCTCTGATTTGTTGCAAAATCTTCCTTTATTTGCGCAATTGGCTGTTAAATGGTTCAGGCATGCAACTCGGCCAATCGTTATATTGGGAGAAATGAGGTCAGCACAAACCTCTATCGCAGTAGAATTATGTGATCTTCTCCCTGTTACTCGCTTTCTTATTGGTCCTACCAACCAGAGTCAACCCTGCGTTGCGCAGTTCTCAACGGCCACGTTGCGCAGTTTCGCCCGATTAGACACGTTCTCTCGCGCGAACATTCACACTCGCATGCTCGAGCCGTCTGTGTCTCCGCCCATACAGCGTGCGTTGAGGATCTCTCAACGTGCCGTTGCGAACTGCGCAACGCAGGGTTGACTCTGCTACCAACACACTTTCCCACTTGGTCCCACATTAGTTCTACTCACGAACCATCTTACACCTACCCACAACCACAACATATCCGTTGAACAGGAGTGATGAGTGAAAGTAAAAGTTACAAGAGGCGTTCGATGTAACCACAAAAGTCAAGAAATTTCAAAACTTATCAAAACATCGTGAAACTTTTCGCATTCACCACAAAAATTTTTCTCGCATGAACACGTGGTCACTTTCCCCAATACCATCCATTCTTTGTAGGACGACAGTTAACTCTGCATGGGAATTTCATTTTTCATTCTTTGCAAATTGTAAGAGTAACAGATTACATGTTTGTAAACATGCCTACATGTGGCTTCTGTTTTGGTCACCGCACTCTCCTCATGCATAAGATTCCAGCGCGCAAATAAAGCAGATTTTAAAATGATCTTTGCTAGTATGCTACTTACAAATTTTCGTCGGAACAATAACGCAAGTGTTTAAAGGCAAACTCCG